CAACATGAAAAAGCAAGGAGACAAATTGCCCCAAGCAAACCAAGATTCTTCAAAACAGAATCCACAGTGAAAGAAATGTCAGAGAAAGTGTTTAGAATGTGCATAGTTAAGCTGATCTGTGAAGTAAAGGATGATGTAAGAGAGCAAATACAGGTAGCAAAAGATCACTTCAATAAAGAGGTAAAGATTCTGAAAAAAAATTCAAACAGAAATCCTTGAAATGAAGAAAACAATATACTAAATTAAAAATTCAATAGAAAGCATCACCAACAGACTAGACCACTTGGAAGATAGAACCTCAGCAATGAAGACAAAATATATAATCTTGAAAACAGAGTTGACCATGGAGAAAAGATGTTAAGAAACCATGAGCACAAATTCCAAGAATATGGGATACTATGAAAAGACCAAATTTAAGATTTATTGGGATAGTTGGAGACATGGAGATACAAACCAAAGGACTGCACAATCTTTTCAATGAAATAATATCAAAAAACTTCCCAACTCTAAAGAATGAAATGGAAAATCAAATACAAGAGGCTTACAAATCCCTAAATGTGAAAAATTACAATTACCCATATTAAGAAACATTATAATGAAAATACCTATCATATAGATAGATATGATAGAATATAAGGATAGAATTTTAAAGGGTGTGAGAAAAAAAATATCAGATTACACATAGAAGGAAACCAATGTGGATCTCAGCTTATTTCTCAATGCAGACCCTCCAAGCTAGAAGGTTCTGTGATAACATGTACAAACTCTGAAAGAAAATGAATGTCATATAAGAATTCTATATTCAGCAAAATTAAACTTCAGATTTGAAGATGAAATAAAAACTGTCCATGATAAACAAAAATTAAAAGAATTTACAACTAGAAAGCCTACACTTCAGAATATTCTCAACAAAATATTCCATGAAGATGAAATGAAAAAAAAAAAGTGAAAACCAGAAAAGGGAGGAATCACACTAAAGGAATAGTCAATCAAAGAGAAACTAAATCAAATTAAAATGTAGAAATAAAACAAACTGACCAGGAACACAAATCATATATCAATAATAACTTTGAACATTAATAGCCTAAACTCATCAATTAAAAGATGTAGAGTGGCAGATTGGATTAAATAACAAGAATGAATAATATGTTGTCTCCAAGAGACTCACCTCACAGGCAAAGATATCCTCAGACTGAAGGTGAAAGGATGGGAAAAAATATACCATTCACATGGATAGTGTATAGAAGCAGGGGTTTCCATCCTCATTTCAGATGAAGTGGACTTCAGGCCAAAGTTAGTCAAAAGGAACCAAGTGGGACATTTCATACTGCTTAAGGGAATTATACATCAACAAGACATAACAATCATAAATGTTTATGTCCCATATAATGGAGCATCTACATATATCAAACAAACCCTCCTCAATTTCAAATATTAAACCACAAATAAACCACAACACAATAACACTGGGTTTGAACATTTGTATCCATATACATAAATACAAACATAAATATATATGTAAAAATATACATGAAAATATTTAAATGGTTATGGATTTGTATATACTTATTTTTCTTTTGAGATGTTTGTTCACAATTTTGGTAAGATATAGGATATGATTATGTAACTGAATACATATGAAAATTTATGGGTAGAATTTTGGTTGTCATTAGGGTACATATATATGAATGTATATACACATATACAGAATATGTATGTGAAAATATATGAATTTTCAAAGTAATACTTACAATTTTTGTTTAAAAGACTCATGATTATGGGTAGGGTTGAGTTTTGTGCTGAGTTATTGCTTTGGTTTAGAGTATGGATTACCTTTGGAACATATATATCAATATAAATGAATATAAATATGAATATAGAGGTAATATATGTCAAAATTTATATGTACATATACTTTTATTTATTGATATTTTAATAAGAAATATTATATTACATGTGATATCTGGGTTATGCCTATGGAAATGAATATATATGTGTGTATATATAATATCTATAGGTTTTTATGTGAATTTATATCTTCAAATACATAGGTACATTCATGTAAAATGTTATGGTTTATATGTACAGAGGTTTCTCTGAAGTGTATTGGTAGGTATAGAACTTTTGTAGAAAAATAGGGTTAGTTTAAGGATTGAACATTTTTATCCTTGTATACAAATATAAACATAAATATATATGTAAAAATATACATGAAAATATTTAAATGGATATAAATTTATATATAGTTAAAAAAAGTAGACATAGAGTTTATACTTACATGTTTATTGGTTAAAGTCTACCACCCCACCAACTTGTTCTTTCTACTTTCCTAAGTTTTGTGTCATTTTTTTTCCCTTTGTAGACTTTTCCCCCTGCCCCATCTTCTCTGAAGAGAGGCAAATAAATACCTGTCTTCCTGTCTTCAAGCTCCAATATAAAATCAGTCAACCATGTCTCCTCTGGACATTTATGCACTTAATAAAAAATTTTGGCAATGCTTTATTTGTCAATTCTGGAAATTTCCATTCATGCGTGCAGTGCATACAACTAAATTCTCAATTCTTTATCCCACAATAAATATAATTTTTAATGGAAAACATAAAACAAAACAAAACAACAACAGCAACAATAGTATATTCTGAAGGGTACCCGGTCTTATGTAAAGGAAACTTGGTTCCACTTAAAATACTCATGTTTTAATCTCAGTTCTTTCACTGTCTTGTCTGTTTTTAAGTTTAGTTTTCCCATTCTTCGCATCTGTCTTCCATGAATTGCATGCTATTCCTTATCCCATAATATGTGAAGTCAATAAAATGCTTAATCAATATATTCTTAATCTTATATCAGTTTTCAGTTTAAGCTAAACATAAGGTAAATTATTTATCTTCCCTTTTTCTCTTCTAAAACACACATACACACACACACATATGCACACACTACATGTCTCTGAACATTTAAATACTGTGAAGAAAGGCAGTGGTGCTTTTAAATGTGTTACAATTTACGATCTTATTACCATGTAACTTTCATCTTTTGCATAATTGATTTGGTTGCATCACTTCCTTCCCCCATTTTATGACTTAAATATTCTGTTTTTTTCATCTAATATGAAACCAGCTTTCTATGAAGCTGAGAAAAGACAAGTGAGCACTTAGAACATGAATTCAAAATCTAAAGACTGCTTTTTCATGCTTCTTCTATAGATACAAGTTTCTCAATTAATTATTGTTACTGAAAGCAAAGCATTACATTGTTAATTTTGGTGGAATCCAGAGATAATAGATAATGTATGGTCATATATTTCTAAATCTATTTCCCAGTTTATTATTGATGTTTCCAACGAGGGGAAATAGGTCCCGGTGTTAGCAGGGTCAAGTACAAAAATAAGCTCAGGCTGAGGGCTGCAGTAGGAAAATGCTATAATAATAATTGAGAGCCTGCAGTCTCAATTCTGGGATAATATGCTCTCCTGTATCTGCCAAATTATGCCTCAGGCCATTAAGACAGCTCATCAGTATCCAGACTTTGTCCATATATAGTATCTGTCATGTGTATCATTTAACATATGTGTCAATATACTACTCAGTTCCCCAGTTGCAAATGGAAAAACTGATACATTCCAGATTTGAAGAATAGAATAGCACCATGATTGCTAAACCCAACTGCTAACTTCTCAGGCAATTTTACTTGTTCAAGTGCAAAAGTAATATAATTTTAGAGTTATGGTTTGGATATGAGGTGTCCCCCCAAAGCTCCTATGTTAATGTAGGAATGTTCAGAGGTAAAATGATTGGACTATGAGAGCTGTAACATAATAATCAGTCCATTCTAGTTTGACTGGACTCACGGGTGGTCACTTTAGGCAGATGGGGTGTGATGGAGGAGACAGGTCACTGAGGGAATGCCCTAGAAAGTTGCATCTTCCCTGGGGGCCCCTTCCCCTCTCTCTGCATTTTGATTGCCTTGAATGCAATAGCTTTCCTCCATCATGCCCTTTCACTATGATGTTCTGCCTTATATTGCACCCAGAGTGTAATGGACTAAACCTCTGGACCTGTGAACCAAAGTAAATTCTTCTTCCTCTAAGTTGTTCTTGTATTTTGGTCATAGCAAAGAAAAGCTGACTAATATTCTTAAAGAATTTGACTACTGAAATTCTGTTTTTATTTATTTCTCTTGTTGTTAAAAATAAACTTGTTGTTAATAATACACACCATTTTGTATGTATTACTACAAAAAATATATTTTACATTTTAATGTGAGGCTATTATTCACCAAACAGGTCGGCTGAAAGGAATATAGGTTGTTCCTAATTTTCAACATCCTGAAATATTTGATTTATGAACTGTATTGTAATTTTAGTGAATGACATTTTCTAAACAAGGTTATATTTAGGATAAGTATGTTGTGGGGGGACACCACTTGGGTTTCCTTAGACCAATGTGTATATCACTTTTTTTGGTTAATGATAACTAAAGAGATTTCTCTCAAAACTCTGGTCAATGCTTTCTAAGTTCCACATCAAAAAAAACTTCCCACATTGTTTCACTTTTCAATCAGCTATGGATGCCACTCACATCTAGCTTGTGTGTGAAAAATATATAACAGATATATTTAATACTGAGAATTTAGCATTGAGCTCGTTTTTTGTTTATGTTTTTGAAAGTGTTAGGTTCTTTTGTGATTATCTATTTCATGTTGGCCTGATGCTAGAAAAAATTTCAGATAAATGTGGATGTTTGTCTAAGTTTAGTCTTGGTGTACCTGGTTGGTGATAACTTAGTTTTACTGCTATTTGTAGTTTTCAGTTTGGCTCAGTAGAAAATGATTTTAAAGTGCTTGAAACTTTTGAAAATTCTCTTAATTTTTTGTAAGGCACTTTATAAAGTGCATATTCTTATCCAGCATGTAGTGTAATTATATCATATAGCTGTCAAGTGGTCTGACAACTGACTGTTTTACAATCAGGAGCAATATCCCATTATGCACACCTTGCTTACCTTATAGTGTGTACTTGTTTGTGTTTAAGGTGAAAGCAGCATAACTTTCTTGCATAAGCAGCTCCATAATGTGGCATAGGATAACTTTTTCCACTATTACATTCCTCATCTGTGTATGGCAGCATTTTAAATCTGCAACCCGACCACAAATCAACATACCAATTAGATTTCAAAGAAAATGAAGACTTGTCTAAAATTTTCAGTTTCCAGGTGTCTTAACTAAATTTTAGAAACTCATCAATATTAGTGGATTCAAAAATCATTTTTTCTATGGCTTTATCATCTATCTGATTATCTCATTTTATATTAATAATGGTGTATTTAACTTTAACAAAAGGTGCACATGCATGAAAGACAAAGAAAATTATTTTCATTAGGACTAGTTAGAATGCTATAATCAAATAAATAACAAACTTAATGGAGTACCAATAATTTCCTTAACCAAAGAAACTCCCCCAGGTATTCTATCTGCAATGTTATGATAAGAATTTGGAAGGCAGTAATTGCTCACAGATTTCTTATTTTTTCTGTTCTTTATTTTGAGCTCATTTATGCAGTCAATTCTTGATTATCCATCATCCATACTTAATAGTAGAATCTGATATGAAAAAGGAAAGACTTTGGGATACATCCCATTCCATTGTTTTCTATTATGAACCATCCCCCAACATAGAAAAGTTTGAAAAGAAAAGGCAACAAGTAAGATAAGGAAATTATAAACGCTTCCATGTCCAAGGGTGTGTATCCTTGCCTGCCTTGAGCTTGATCAACCAATCATTCTGCTAATTCAACCATATTTCAGAGAAGCTTTAAGAAAGGATTTCTGTTTTGGGTTGATTTTGAACTACTGGATATAAAGAATGATATATATTTGTACAACCGGTTACATTTCTGAAAATAAGTTCGTATTCTTATTTGATTTCATAACAATGTGGGAAAGGTCTATATAGTGGGAATTATAATTTATTTCTACCTCTGAGGAGCCTGAGGGTCAGACAGGTTACATGGCACACTCCAGACCAATAGCAGGTGATGACATGAGAGTGGGATCTTTATCTTCTGGTGACTGTTATTACTACTTTTCTTGGCTGTCACTTATCATATGTTTTCTTTGTGTCAGGATGTATGTTCTGGAAATGGATCTCATTGAATACTCTCTACGGCCCCATAGGGAGGTATTTGTTCCATTCTGCAGAATCTAGTATTCTTTCCAAGAGTGATCTCATTAAGCTAAAAGTTGATAGAGCAAGGGTTCTAAATGTCATAATATTATTGCCCTTTATTCTTCTTCTTCCTCTCCATCCCTTTTTCTTTCCCCCCCCCCATCTCTCTCATTGAACCCAGGAGTGCTTTACCACTGAACTACATCCCCAGTACTTTTTAAGATCTTTTTTTTTTTTTTGAGACAGGGTTGCTAACCTGCTTAGTGTCTTGATAAATTGTTGAGGCTGGTTTTGAACTTGCAATCCACCTGCCTCAGCCTCTCAAGCCACTGGGATTACTGGCGTCCACCACTGAGCCCAGATCATTTATTTTTCTTTGTGTTTTAATGAGTTGATAATGCCCTTTCTCTACTTTGAGATCAACTCAATCTCTTATTTAAAAAAATTATAAGCTTTTATATTTATTTCTATTTCCACCATAATGAAGCCAGATTTAAAGATAGGTAGTTATATATTTAAAGATAGATAGCATAGCTAGGTAAATCGGGTCTGATGGAGAAAATGGAGTCTGATTTGAGTCCAAGAAATTGGAAATGACCCCTGGGAGAATAGAATGTTCTTGTCTCCAGAGCCTGTTGATACTCCCCCTCCCAAAAGGTTGTTAACTGAAGCAATCCTGAGCAGACAGGAGCTGCTAATCAACACCAGGTCTGCAGCTCCCTTCCCACCTAGCCCTCCTCCTATGCCCTTCCAGCCTACCTGCTCACGCACTGGCCATTCCACCAACATCCCCCAGTCACTACACAGGATGAGAGGAAATGAACAAGGTAGGGAAGAAGAATGCAGGAGAACAAGGGAAACTTTAGATATATAAAAGGGACAGGACTTCGTCATCCCCTGGATTCTGCCTTTGGGGTCTCCTTCTTCCACCCGGGAGAAGTCTGTTTTACTATCCTTTAATAAAGCTCCTTACTTTCTACTCCACTCTTGCCTCAACATGCTTCTCTGGTGTTATACTTCAACATTGGAGAAAGCAGGACTCATCAGGTAACCAGTGGTATCAATAACAGTTCTTAGAACTCACATTGTATAGACCCCTATTTTGCTCTAAGCCAGTTGGAAGACAATAGATGATTCTCTGCATCACAAAATGTGACAGAGATAAGTTGCATACCCTAGAAGGCACTGGTGACATGCTGTCCTCTCAACAAAGACACAAGTTATTGGAGTTAGAGAAAAGAAATATATTGGTTTTGTGCTGATGGCTCTATTTATAACACAATGGTTTGTAAGTCTGAGTATATATTTTTTTAAAGACATAAAAATTCCTGTTTATTTCTATAGTAGGTTGTTAAAACATACCTCTCAGTAGCAGGATGGCTGATTTTCTTGGTGTGGAGGACTTGTACATTCAACTGGAGTTCCATGAGACTGGTGCACGTTATTTAGAACCCAATTACAGACTTTCTCCTAGAATATTTAGACCCAGGGTTAGATTTACAAAAAAGATTAAAAATTTCCTCTGTTCCCAAACAAGTAACCTAGGTTCTTAAAATTCTAAACTTGTTTTACTATTGAATGTGTTACGATGATTTTTTGTGGCATAATAATGCTTAGTCTTTTCCCTGATCTTTTTGTGACTATGTGATTTTCATTTTTGAAATGAACAAAATTGTCCCTATTAATCACAGCCAAGAAACACGTTTTTAATTAAGGCCAAATTATCTAAAAATTAGTGAATACGGCATTATCCATCTGTTTCTTTCTAATTTTAGAAAATTATGTTCTGAGTGTAGTCAAATAAACTTTGTGTCTTGATCAGAGGGGGCTCAACATGAAAAGACCTACTGAACTTGGCTTTCTTCAAGAGTGAGTAATATTGAAACATACCTGAGGTTGAAATTAGTGTAATCTCTTAGTAACCATTAATAATTTAAGACACGGATTTTAGGAATTTGAAAAATAATTATCTTTCTTAACCTACTTTTTGGAGTAAAAGCATAAGCATTCTTGTTTTTGGTGACTTCCTCCTCAGCTTTAGGTTTTAGACGCCCATCATGCCTCACTGGAACCTGCTAGAAAGATTCACAAAGAAGTTGTCAGATGACTACAGGGCAGTCTTACATGTAAAGGAAGAATAGTGGGATTTATACTTCAGTGACAATATTTTTTAAAATATTTTTTTCTGGGTCCAAGTAATTGGTTTTTCCCACCCTTTGTTTTCTCAGTATTTCTAATGTTGAATTAATCTACACTCTTCTCCACCCCGCATTCCAGTTCTCATTTATAAGTCAATTAGTTAAAATACCAACAAATTTAAAATTATTTTTCTCTCATCTTTCTTTGTGGAAAATATTATTGCCTGATTACTACCCAGCAATAGCAATTAATAAATACTATTTCTTAGAACCTTCTATGATCACCATTATTGTCACTTAGTCCCTAAAATTTAAGTAGCTAAAAAAACCCATATATTATACATCTACGTGTGCTTTTTTTATGTTTTAGGAAAAATTGTGCTTAGTATCAACATAGAGGTACAAATAAAGTATAACAGAAATTCAAGAAAAGGATTTATTTGAATTAATGGATATGAGAAAAAGTAGGATTTGAACTGTTGAGTAATGGACATGATTCAGAGGAAGAACATGTTAGCTGAGATAATAACTTAATAAAAGACACATATGGTTATTAAAATGCAGATTGAAGGAATGGAGGGGATTAGGGTATGTGTGTGTGTGTGTGTGTGTGTGTGTGTGTGTGTGTGTACGTGCGCGCGAGCGCCAGCAAGCGGGTATAACATGTGGGCTCCTATGTGCAATGATTTCACTTGTTTGCAATTACCATTTAACAATTTGCCTTCTAAACATACTAGCACAGAGAAAAATCCCAGAGACTTATACAATCATCCTAAAATGAAATAAGTTTTTTTTTCTTTTTCATGCTGTTTGTCATACTCTAGATACCATGGGAATAAAAATACACCTTAGAAATAAACCATGCACTCTGCAAGTTAAGCTCAGGGAACAAAACACCAGAGTTGCCAAGAACTGGACCAGACATATTCTTCCCTTGTGACTTTTGCTCTCTCCTCACATTCCCATGGTATCCTTTTCTGCACAGTGCACATACCAGATTTCCACTAAGCACAACAGCTCAAACCATCATGGTCTTTTGAATCACAATCAAACCTATTTCTCTTGATGTTACAGATTATAGCAGTAAATATAGTTTCTCCTTAAATAATTAACATGTTAGATTAAGCACCATTCCCTCGAAGACTGAGGCTCCCAATCTATCAGTTGAGTTCCAATATCTTTTCTCTTTAAGAGATGTGTCTTCATTCCATTTTTCATCTTTTCTGCTAGAGGTCATATAAGTTATTTCTCGACTAACCTATAGTAAAACTTTGCAGTTTGTCTTTATGTCTTGAATATCTCCCCTTCTCATTAATCCTGTTCTTTGTCACCAACAATCCTATTCTTAATATGATGACTTGTGGATTCCCTGTTCAAAATAATATATGGTTTTCCATTCAATACAAATCAATACAAAATCTACCTGATCTGGAATTCAAACACACACACACACACACACACACACACACACACACACACACATTTCCTTGGTATGTTTTGAATATTACCACATTAATAAAATAACGAAATCTAGGGTGAAGCTCAAGCCAAATAAACATATCTTAATTAAACTTGACTAAAAAGTTATAGTCTATGAATGATTAATTTAAGGTGTCATTTAAATGCAGATTATAAAGGCTTTTAAATTTTCTCCTTCATGTATCTTCTACTCAAAGAGTCTACCTTCTTGCCTTTGACTTTGAGTAAACTTTACAGAAAAAAAATATGAAACAAGAGAAGTCCATGTTATTGTTTTTTAATTTTTCTGTGCAGAATTTGACAGTGAATGTAACTGAAGCTTTAGGTTAAGAGGGTTTTCTTTCTCTTCTTATTGTGATTTGTCATGTTTGTCTTTGGAATCTATTAGCACACACAGCCCACAGGTAAGAGCATGCAGAGTCCTACCTAACTAAACATGTTACTACTTCTTTAGTAGTTTTTATAATCAGCTTTTATTTTTATCTAAATATATTAAAATTATATTCTGGCTCCATGAAGACAGAGATTCTAAGTTCTTCATCCAAGGACTACTGGTAAACATCAAATGTCCTTCAGGGGATTTAGTACCCTTCTCCATCACTGCCAAGGCCTCAGAATTATCACTACTTTGTTTTTGCTTTCATAACAGATTAATATGCTTCAAATTTTAATAAGGCAAAGATTGGGGATGCAGTCAAATCACTGCCAGTTTTCCCAATCCATTTGGTGAGGATAATGTTTTTGTCTTAGGAACGAGTATGTGGTATTTCTACTAGTAAAGGCTAAAAAGCATTTGTAACTATTAGGCAAATCTTTAATTGAATACTTAGTCAGAAGAGAACTGTTCTCATTGCTACTTTTCATGGAAGAAAGGGAAAACAGGCTCTGAAACGTGTCAGTCTGAGGATAGAGCAGCACTTGGGATTCTTTCTGGACCTCTGAATTTGGGAATCCATTCCGGTATCATCTTCATGTCAGTCTTTTCCTGGAGATGCGAAAGACATTCAACTATTTATTCATTTTCCTGATATGATTGTGAGAAAATGTAGTAAGCTACCACTTGTCCCCTGAGAGTTTAGTAGCAAAAACATTTAACATAATCAATGTTTCTAATTTTTTACTATAAGAGCTTCATTATTTACTAATGACACGAGAATTCCAATTTCATTAAATTTGATAAGTTTGTCTCTTGGGAGCTTTATTTTTTTCCTTGATTAGATAGGGATAGGTACTTGAATTTTCATTTTAGTTTTTAAGTCAAAGAAAAAAAAAACACATTGGTTTTTAGTATGAACTAGGCAGTCAGCAGTTGGAATTGGAGTGAGAGTCAGGGTGCCACTTGTCTTGCCAGACTTTGTTAAGAAAGAAAAAATTACACTGTTGAAATAGAGAAGATATTCCAGGAAACATCAAAGTCTGACATCAAGTTGAAATCTGTAATAAC